TGAATAAACAATTTATCCATCTGTTGATGGAAATTAATTTCCAGTTTTCTCAGGTTTTAATTTCTATTGTTCAGTTATAAGCAGTGTTGTTAATGCATTTCTTGCACATGTCTCCTAAGATATATTAAGAATTTCTCCAAGTACCTAGCAGTGGAATGCTGAAGAATGTTGTTTGCATGTGTTCAGCCTTCTTAGGAAGTGCAAAAATAGGCTTCCAAAGTGGTGGTAGCAATTTACAGTCCCACCAGCAAAACATGAGTGTTCCCATTCCTCCACATCCTCACATTTGTTACCAACACTCTTCAATTGTAGCCATCGATCGGATGGGTATGTAGTAGTATCACTATAGTTGACTTTGGATCTTCCTGAATTAGTAATGAAATTAGATATATTTTCATTTGTGTATTGATAGTTGGAATTTCTTTTTTGAAGTGCCCGTTAAAATCTTTTATTCAGTTTTCTATTGGGTTGTTGGTCATATTAAAGGTGTTGCTTATGTGCTCTAGATATTAGCTCTTCGTTGTTTACATGTATAGCAAAATATATGACTTGTAGTTTCATTCTCTTTATGTTGCCTTTTGATCAACATTAACTTAATTTTAAGGAGGTCGAATCGATCAATCTTTTCCTTTATTGCTTTAACTTTTTATGTTTTGGGAAATTCTCCTTATACCAATAACAAACATATTCTCTCTCCTTAGAGTCTTCTCTATTATATTTTTGTCCTTTACATTTAGGTCTCATATCTAATTGGAGTTGGTTTTTATGTTTGGTATAAGGTAGGAGTCGGCTTTATTATTTTCCATAGAGAAAACCAATTAGTCTGGGACCATTTATTAAAAAGTTGGTTTCTTCACGTTGATCTGAAATTTCGCCTCTGACATTTAGCAGATGTCCATATATACATATCTGGGCTCTATATTTCTCTTCCTTTGGTCTGTTTATCCCCCCTGGGTCTCGCCAATAGTATATTGTCTTATAATATCTTGATATCTGATAAGGCAAGTCCTCCAATGTTTTCCTTGGCTAGTCGTGACCCACTGTACTTTCATATACATTTATATTCAGCTTGTGAAGTTCCACAAAAAAAAAAAAGCTCATTTTGACAGTAATTGCTCATCTATTTTAGGAGAATTGACATTCTTATGATATTGAGGCCTTGAATCCATAAGCATATCTTTCCACTTATTTGGATCTTTTAAAATATTTTATATACACTTTTCATAATTTTCTCCATAAAAATCTTATAGATCATATTCATTTTTATTAGATTTATTCCTTAGGTACTCTGTAGTTTTGGATGTTATTATAAATTGTTTCCTTTTTTAAATCTTTTTTAAAAATATATTTTTATTGATTTCAGAGAGGAAGGGAGAGGGAGAAAGAGATAGAAACATCAATTATGAGAGAGAATCATTGATTGGCTGCCTCCTGCATGACTCCTACTGGGGATCAAGCCCGCAAACTGGGCATATGCCCTTGACTGGAATCGAACCCGGGACCCTTCAGTCCACAGGGTGACGCTCTGTCCACTGAGCCAAACTGGCCAGGGCATAAATTGTTTCTTTTTAAATGTCATTTTCTTACTGTTTGTTACTGGTGAATAGAAAAGCAATTGATTTTTTTTTTAAGAATAGTTTATTGATTTTTAGAGAGAGAGGAAGGGAGACGAAAGAAACATGGATATGAGAGCAAAACATCCATCAGCTGCCTCCTGCTCTCCCCCTACCAGGGATCGGGGATCGAGCTCACAACCTGGGTATGTGCCCTGACCAGGGATTAAATCAGCAACCTTTTGGTGCACAGGATGGCACCCAACCAGCTGAGCCGCACCAGCCAGGGCACAACTGATTTTTATATATTGATCTTACATATAGCCAACTTAGTCTGTTCTCTGATTTTAATAGTTTATCTGTTGGTTATTTGGGTTTCTGTATACTCAATCATCTCATTTTCCAATTGTAGCAAAATAGTTTTCTTCCTTTCTAATTCTTTTTTTTTTAAATATATTTTATTGACTTTCTACAGAGAAGAAGGGAGAGGGATAGAGAGCCAGAAACATCGATGAGAGAGATTGACCAGCTGCCTCCTGCACGCCCCCAGTGGGGATGTGCCCGCAACCAAGGTACATGCCCTCGACCGGAACCGAACCTGGGACCCTTGAGTCCGCAGGCCGACGCTCTATCCACTGAGCCAAACCAGTCCGGCATCCTTTCTAATTCTTATACCTTTTTTTTTTTGGTCCCTTACTCCACTGGCAGGTCTTCTAAAATAATTTTGAAAAGGGGTAATGATAGAAGGTGTTCTTGTTTCTGATTGTAAAGAGAATGCTTTCAGTCTTCATTAATATTTCTGTTGATATAATCATTTTTTCATTAATCTATTATTGTGGTAAATTATATGCATTTATTTACTAATACTAAACCAGATTTGCATTTCTGGGATAAAGCTATCTTAGTCATGATGGGTTATTCTTCTTATACATTTATGAATTTTGTTTGCTGATATTTTGTTAAGATTTTTGTATCTTCATGAATGAGATAGGTTTTAATATCAAAATGATATAAGATTTGTAAAAAAGAGTGTTGGGGGTTAGGAGGGGAGATTAAGAGAGGAAAGAGAGAGACACATCGATTTGTTGTTCCATTTATTGATGCATTCATTGGTTGTGTCTTGTATGTGCCCTGACTGGGGATCAAACCCACAACCTTGGCTATCAGGATGATGCTCTAACCAACTGAGCTACCAGGCCAGGGCAAGTTTTTCTTTTTTAAAAAATTTCTTTATTGATTAAGGTATTACATATGTGTCCTCATCCCCCCATTACCCCCCCTCATGCCCTCACCCCCCTGTTGTCTGTGTACATTGGTTAGGCTTATATGCACGCATAAGTTTTTCCTTTTGCTTCTGTTTTGTTAGTTAAAATTCTCTGGCAATTTTTTCATTATTTTCAAATCTTTAGAATAATGTTCAAGAGATTTTATTTTCTTTCAAATCTCTAGGTCATCTAAAATTATGACTCCATGCTTATTTCTCTCTTTATTTGTTTATACCCTGATTTTCTCTTGAAAAATCTTGCCATAGGGTTATTAGATTTTTCTATCTTTGGAAGAACATGTTTAGCTTTTTTGACCTATACTTGCTTTTATTTCTATTTATTTGTGGTGTTATTTTAATGATTTCCTTTCTTCTAATTCTTTGAATTTAATTTACTCACCTATTTCTAATTTCTTAAGTTATTAGCTCATTAAATTTCAGCCTTTCTTTTTTAAAAAAAACATTTAGGGTTAAAATTTCCCTCTAAGTAGTGCTTTCACTGTCTCTACACATTTTCATGTATGATATTTTTATTATTTAGTTCAAAATATTTTATAATTTTACATTGAATTCTTTCCTGGGCCATGAGTTAATTATGTATTTCTTAATTCTCTAAGGTATAAGTTTTTTCTACTTATCTTTTTATTACTGCTATCTAATAATTACACTGTAGTCAGAAAATGTTTTATGTATAATATCAATCTTTTGAAATTGTTGAGATTTACTTTGTTTTGATCCAGTATATTGTCAATTTTTATAAATGCTTCATGGGTACTCTAAAACACAGGATTTGGAATGGCCTCTATGTTTATTATATCAAGCTTGTTCATTGTGTGGATTAGATCTTTTATGTCATTATTCCTGAATGCTCAAACTATCAGTTACTGATAGAGATATATTAAAACTCGCCCACTGTTATAGATTGATTACACTCTCCTTGTAAAATATTGCTTATATCTTTTCAACATATAATTCAGGGTACAAATGAGTTTAAACTTGTTATATGCATTTTAATATGTGAAGGAGGCTCACATTTGGGCTATAGATTATTTTTAGTTAATGATTCTGATTTTTATATTTCATAAAACATGTAAGAAACCACACGTTAGACAAAAACACACTTTAGGCAAAAAGGGTTTTACTGTAATATTTATTAATTCGGGGTTTAAAATATTCTTGTCCCTTGACCTTGTTAAGTCATTTCTGGGATGCTTTTCAAAAGAAATAACCAGTAGATAAAAAGCTTTATGTACCACAATACATATTTGTGATGGTGAAAAATAAAAAACATACATTTTAACAGCAGCAGAGTAGTTAAGAAGCTATGACACATCTACATGATGGTGTATTATGCAGCCATTAGAATAATTTTATAAAGAATTTGTAATAACACTGTAAAGTTATCACAATGATGTATAAATAAAACAGTATACATGATGCTTTCAATTACTTTAATGATAACTATAGGGATATTCTAAAAGGAAATCTCTAAATAGTAACATTGGTTTGTGAAATTTGGCATTCCCCCTTCCTTTCTACTTTCTTTGTGTTTTCCATGATTTCTTCAATATTCCCTTTTTTAACAATTAGATTGAGAAAAATAAATTTAAAAGTATGGACTAACAAATACATTTCTAATATTTAAATGTACACCATTATTCTTTTTATGTTATATTGTTTAGTTGATATTTTTAAGACAGAAAAACGATTTAAAATGTGTGATATGGATATATATAAAGTAAAAGTTAATGTTTAAAATTAGGTATCTTATTGTGCTTTATCTTTTTATATCTTACTAGAGGCCTGGTGCACAAAATTCGTGCACTCGGGGGGGGGCGGGAGGGGAAGTCCCTCAGCCCGGCCTGCACCCTGGGAGCCCTTGGGGGATGTCCGGGGGAGGGGGGGCAGGCCTAAGTCGTCAGTCGGACATCCTTAGCACTGCCACGGAGGTGGGAGAGGCTCCCACCACCACCGCTGCGCTCACCAGCCATGAGTCCGGCTTCTGGCCGAGCGGCACTCCCGCTGTGGGAGCACACCGACCACCAGGGGGCAGCTCCTGCATTGAGCGTCTGCCCCCTGGTGGTCAGTGCGCATCATAGTGACCAGTCATTCTGCTGTTTGGTCGATTTGCATATTAGCCTTTTATTATATAGGATTGTGCTTTATCTTTTTACCTCTTTTAGGTAAAGTATTGATAGAAGACAACTGGTTCATTGCTCCAATGGTTTCCAATCGTATGAGCATATGGGCAAAACCAACAGCTGTTGGATCCTTCAGCCCACACGTGACAGAGATTCCAAGAAAACGAAAAGAAAATGATTTGGATCTGTCCCAGTAAGTGAATTTGTTCCTTTAACCTCATTAAATCTTTGACTCTAGGGACAAAAAGAACAAGATTACTTTTTAAGCCATTAATTTTATTTATTAGATGTGGTAACATTTGGATAGGGGCAATTATTTATCCATCCAACTGCCACCTCTGTCATTGACTGACCTAGCACTTTTCAGTCCAGATCTGAAGGTTATTAGGTATCCAGAAGGGTCAAGTGGAGTCTGGAAGACGTATAACAACCTAAGGTTAATTTATTTAATGTTTATGGTCACAGCAAGAGACTTGTCTTCCTAATTTGCTTCTCATCTTACTCATCATTTGTATAGCATCCTTCCTAGAGACTCAGGGCATGAAAACCAGTCAATAGATATGAAATTGATTTTGTTCATGGAGCTTCAAAGTATTAGATATTTATAAACAAAGAAGAATATCTAAGAATGTTTACCCTTTCTTCCCTGTTGGTTTTGAATGGAGAGTTGGTTCTCTAAAGGGGTTATTGATGAAGAGTCCCTGGAATGTAGTAATTAAGCATTTATTGAGTACCTACTATGTGACACCTAGTAGACCAGGAGGGAGAGATACAGATAAGACCCCAGAAACTCATACAAATGGAAAAGATACAAATAATTATTACACATCATAAGAACTGCTATACTAGAGATCCTAGGTATTATGGCAACAAAGAAAGTTGGGGATTTAAATAATATTGGGATCAAGAATATTTCTAGAGATGTTGAGATACACTACGTTTTAAATGAATAATGGAAATGAGCGATTCAGAGCAGGAGTAGAGAAGATGCTTGGAAAGCACCCTGCTGATCTGGAAACAAGTTGTCACATAGAGCAGAGGGTGCACATGGAGGAGGAGCTATGACTTGAGGGATAAACGTGGACTAGATCCCGAAGGTCCGCTGAACAAAAGAATCTCAAAATTATCTTGAATGTGGTAAGAAAAATGGAAGGATTTTAAGCATGAGAACTTTTCTTCAGATTACATTTCTTAAAATTTCTTGCCTTTGTACTTAAAAACTTTTTTATTGTAGTAAAATATCTAACAAAATTTTCCACATTAATCATTTAGTGTACAATTCAGTGGCGTTAGTCCCACTTAATGTTCAGCTGTCACCGTTGTCTGTTTCTAAAACTTTTTTATCACCTCAGTCTGAAACTCTGTACCCATTAAATAATAATTCTCCATGCCCCTTTTCCCCCAGTCCCTGGTAACCTCTAACCTACTTTCTAGCTCTATGAATTTGCCTATTCTAGATATTTCATATAAGTGGAATTATACAATATTTGTCCCTTTGTGACTGCTTATTTTACTTAGCCTAATGTTTTCAAATTTCATTCTTTTTAATGGTTGAATAATATTCCATTGTTAATATATATCACATTTAGTTTATCCATTCATCTGCTGATGGACATTTGGGTTGTTTCCACCTTTTGACTATTGTGAATAATGCTTCCAGGAACATTGGTGTACAAGTGCCTGCTTTCGATTCTTTTGGGTACATACCTAGGAGTAGATATGGTAATTCCATATTTAGTGTTTGAGAAACCAACAAATTGTTTCCCACAGTGGCTACACCATTTTACATTCCCACCAGCAATGTATGAAAGATCCCATTTCTCCACATTCTTGCTGACACTTGTTATTTTCCATTAAAAAAGCAAAAAGCTATCCTAGTAGGTGATCCATTTTCAAAGGATCACTCGAAACAGCATGGAGGATGGGCTGAAGGAGGAAAACCCAGCAGGTAGAGGAAACAGCTGAGAGACTTTTACTAGGAATTAGGTATTGAGAGCATAGCCCTGGACAGGAAGGACACATTTTAAAGATGGAATCTCTTTAGATTTCATGACTGTTTGTTAGGGAGAGCAGGAGAATAAGAGTCTTTGAGTTTTCTGACTTGGACGGATGGATGCTGGTATCATTCCATGAGGCTGAGGGAAAGAGGAAGAATTCAGTTTTGGACACAATGGTAATGTGATGTTTATGGGATCTTCAAGTAGGCGGGTGGCTATGAGGGTTGAGGTTGCGCCTGGAGGTAGAGTCAGACACCATGAATGCACAGAAAGCAGGTGTGGTGATTGGCATGGGCGCAGCCACTCGGGGGCTGAGGATATACTCTGGTACACGAGCCTAAATACAGTAAAGGAAGGGGAATCCTACCCAAAATGTGAGAAGACCTGGCCCTACAGTGGGAGTAGTATCTCAGAAACCAAAGGAAAAAAGTTTCAAGAAGAAGAAGGTAGGAAAAGGGGCAAATCTGGAGAATGTTTTAATTGTATTTGCTTTCAATTTAATTTGTCTGTGGTTGATTCAGGGAGCAGGCCTCCATTTTACTCAAAATGCAATGAAAGCAGTTTTCAGGGAAAACTTGCATTCTTTTTTTGGTATGTATTTAAATACATGTTTAAAAAGAGATTGGAAGGAGACCCATTAATATTAACTGAGGTTATTTCCAGGTGAGATTATGGGTGCTTTTCCTGAATTTTCAAATGCCCCTTCAAAAAAATAATACATTTGGAAATAATTTGTTAATGTGGAAAGTATTCTATCACCATTAGTGTATTTCACTTTGGTAGTGGTCTGGTGACTAAATTTCTAAATTAATACAAACACATGTATGTATATTTAGATATAAAAATTTATACACACACATATGTACATATAGTATATTCCCTAGCAGAATGTAGTAATGTGATAATTAATATTATTGGCAAGTGATCAAAGTTTTCAGTTTTCAATATTTCTTATTCAGATGAATCTTTAGGCAAAATAAATTCCTTTTGATTAAAGGTCTGAGACTTTCAGTGCATTTTCAGGCTATTCTAATGCAGCTACTATAAAATTTTTGGTTAAGCCATAAATTGCTTTAAAAAGAATAACTTTATTTCTATAAAATTATATTCTTAATATATTGGCATGGGATAATTTTTAACTAGGGCACCAGTTTTTGTTGTCAGTTAACGTAGTTGTTACCCTGACAGAGAAGATGTGCTTCTTGGCTTTCATAGAAAAGCTCATGTAACAGTAGAAGTCATTTCAGGTCATTAGGAGCTATGATAGTATCTGTTACTAAAGACAATAGGAAATTAGGTTGATTGGACTTAGTCTCATCTTTATCTCTCTCTCAAGAATTACTGAAAAGCTGTTTCACGTAGTTTGAAATTTTATCCTGCTTTTTGTAGAATGGAAGATGGTGAACAAGTAAAAATGAAGTCCTTTAGGGGCGTTGAACTGTGTAGATGGTCCATGGTGGGTCGGAAAAGTCACACATGCACACCTTTAGCCAAAGCCAAAGGTGATGTCAAGAGAATGGATTCATGAATATTAGGTTTTTCTCACCTTATGCTGTAAGAGGTAGTGATCATCAGCTACCTCTTACCTTTCTTTTCTGTTTGAATAACAATTTGGCTTATGTGTCTTTGAATTTTTCTTAGAGTAGCTGTTTATTAAGAACTATTATTTTCTTTCAGCACTGGAGAGAAGCTGATTCATGCTGTAAACAAATCAGAATTACAACAAACATCTGATTAGGAGTCCAGCATCATGAATTTTTTGTCAATTGTTTCAACATCAACAACATTTTTTTCTACATCTGGCAGCATGGCCAGATCTCAGCTTTGCCTTTTCTCCATTGATTCTGTTTTATTGATATAATTCTCCCAAACACTGACATGATTCAGAGTGGCAATAACAGCATACAGAATTAAGAACCAGAGCCCTGATAAATTATTAAGCAGAAACTAGCCTCTGGATACATATGCCTTTCCTTAATAAAATCCTCTGGAAATCTTTTCATTTCTCCTCCAAGTAACCTACCTTATTAAAAAACTGGTGATTTCACCTTTCTGTGAGTTTCCTAGCTTCCGCCATTATCATTCATTGCTCTCTTCAGTGGCCTTGCTCTCACCTCCCTCAAAACCCTAGCTGAGAGAGCATAACATCCTTCCTTTGCTGTACACTCCTGGAATCAAGCATCTCTCGCTGTTGCTGCTGTCTATTCTGATGGGTAATACTGGTAGAAAGAAGAGGTGACCATTCTAGCAAGAGGGTAACTATAACGTTCTTTTAATCATACAATTTTAATCTAAAAATTGCTCATGAATAGGCCAAAGTATGAGTAACTAAATTTTATGCAAACACACATATAATTCACATTCCATCCAGTTAACCCAAAAGTACATATTTTGTTCCAGGAGTGGCGTTGCCCGAGTGAATGGTTCGGGGGAGGGGAGGGGGGGGGTTAGCTCCATCTGTCTCCATCAGTGCTGCTCCCCACTTCCATGTAGAAATATTACAGTTCCTTTCATGTATTTTAAAGTTCCTATAAAAATAGATCAAGGCAGATCTCCTTCTTAACTTCTTTCCCATTAGGTTGTTTCCCCTAAACTCTTCTTACATAGAAGTCATGATTGGAGGAGAAACAGACAAATGTTTACAGTTAAATATGAAGAATAAAATAGCCTAATTTGTGAAATCTAAGATGTACAGTTCCCCCTACCTTTTATAATCTGTGAAAAATGTCTTATCATCTTTGGCATTTTCCTGTTAAATTAGCAGCATTTTTTCCTCTTCTTGTAATGCATTAAATATTGGTGCATCTTACAATTGATTGTGGCTTAGATTTGATGAAATATAGTAGTGGCATAAAAAGTCCTGAGGTAGCTGAGAGGGAAGTGATTAATTGTACAGCAGGCAAAGAAAGCTTCCCAGAAGAATACCTGAGCTGGGCTTTGTAAAAGGAGTACTATTTTCCTAAGAATATAGAAGGGAAAGACTTTGTAAGCCTAGTAAAGAGCAAGACATAGAGATGATATGAGGTGATGTGGCATGTTTGAGGACTACAGGTCATTTGGCATTGCTGCTGCATGACATTTGGAGCAGCAGGGAAAAGACAGGGAGAGGTGAAACGAGTTGAAAGGATGAGGCAGAGGATGGAGAAATTTGGGGTGTCATTAGGGAGTTTGGCCATTCTTGGGCAGTGGAGAAATGCATTTTGGCAGTTTTATGCAATGGGATTAGATGGTTTGATTTGTTTAGAAGTAATAATTCTGGAAGTAGTGGGCAGGATAGACGAGAAAGGGAAGACAGAAGAAGGAATATGAGTTTAAAAGGCTTTCTGGGTTAGTGCAATGAGCTATCATAAGTGTCCATCAGTAGATGAGTGGATTAAAAAGCTGTGGTATATTTACACCATGGAATACTATGCAGCAGTAAAAAAGGATATTTTACCATTTGAGGCAGCACAGAGGGACCTGGAGAGTATTATGCTAAGCAGAATAAGTCAGAGAAAGTCAAGTATCACATGATCTCACTCATATGTGGAATCTAAAGAACAAAAACAGGTGAACCTCAGAGGGAAGGCAGGGAGCGGGTGGATGGGTGGGAAGAGATTAACCAAAGCAGGGGGAGGTGGAGAAGCCCTCAGGGGTGATTGGGGCCAGCAGCTGCCGCTCTCACTCGCTGACAGTGCCAAGCGATCGGGACTGGTGCCAGGTGCCAGCAGCGGGTGTGAGCAGTGGCTCTGGCGCCAGCTGTGGGTGTGAGAGGTGGTTGCTGACCCTGATCGCCCCTCAGGAGCAGGGGGAAGTGGAGAAGCCCTGAGGGGCGATCGGGGCTGGCACCCATTTTTTCACACACTGACGGTGCCGAGTGATTGGGATTAGCACCGGGCGCTGGCTGCGGGTGGGAGCGGTGGCTCCAGTGCTGGCAGTGGGTTCAAGTGGGGCCAGTGCCGGCAGCAGATGTGAGCACCAGGTGGGATGGCGGTGTGCAGGTGCAAAGAATTTTCAGTAACCACCAGAGGCTCGCCCCGAGGACAGCAACCGGCACCCCGCCATGTTCCATGTGCGCCTCCTGGTGGTCAGTGCCTGTCATAGCGACCGGTTGTTCTGCCGTTCAGTCTATTTGCATATTAGGGTTTTATATATATAGAAGATACGCATGACACATGGGATGAGGGGAGAGGGTAGGCTGGAAGGGGTCAAAGAGGGAAAAGGTTCATCTGTATAACTTTTATCAATTAAGATAAATTCTTAAAAAGTCAGGAACTGGGTGAAGTATAAGCATTTAAAAGTAAGTAGCTTATGAGTAGTTATGAGGGAGTGAGATCTCTTAGGGTGAAGCTATAGGGTGAGAAAAGAGTGGTGCCAAGTAGGAAGTCTTTGGAGAAACCTGTACTTAAAGATAAGGGGACTGAGCCGAGCAGGGAGGATGGAGGTGCCCGAGAGGTCACTGAAGCCGGGTGAAGAATGAGGAATGTTAACAGTGTCAAGTTCAAGGGCAACTAGGGGAAGGGTGTTTGCAGAGGGCAGAAACTGGAGCACATTATAGACTCCTGAGAAAGAGCTATGGAAGAGAATGAGGTTACGATGCTGATAATTGTCTAAGCGAGTATCACAGAGGCGTGAGCTCTGAATAGAAGGCTGCCCATCTTCCTTTAAGACTGGAGGGAAGCAAGAATACCACATATCCTGGCTCTCAGACAAATGTCTTAGTTCTTGAAGGTGTCAGGATGTAAGGTAGGGTAAGGAAGGAGCAAGGATAGTGGCTGAGTTGAGAGCACTGTGAATTTCATGTGTGCTTCCTGTTCCCAACAGCTCCTTCCTCTTCCCCAAGCAGCACCTGCAGGGCCATGGGTGGGAAGAACAGTGTGTACTTGCTGCCTCCACGCAGGCTCCGGCTCACGCCTCTGGGTCACCGTGGGGCTGCTGAATGTGAAATGTAAAGGAGGTTCTTTTCCTTCTTAGAGAAGCTCACAGCCAAACCGAAAAGCGGAGGAGAGATAAAATGAACAGCCTGATTGAAGAACTGTCTGCAATGATCCCCCAGTGCAAGCCCATGGCACGGAAGCTGGACAAACTGACCATTTTAAGGATGGCCGTGCAGCACGTGAAGTCTCTCAAAGGTGAGTTTGAACATGGCCTCCACACCTGGCTTTGTGACATCCTCCCTGTCACTGAAGTCTCCGATTGGTCTGGCTTCTTGTTGTTGGCTGTTGAGATGCTTTGCGAAGGTGTCTTTCAGCTTTGGAGACATTAATTCGATGCTTGACCATATTCTGTATGTGGAGAAGATGCTAATTTGGACATCAGGAAACTTGGTTCTGCTAAAAGCTTTATCTTCAGCTATGTGTGAATTTGAAAAGTCTTTACATTTCTACTTGTTTTCCCATGTATGTAATACAAAGATAGTAATGCCTGCCATTATGTGCCTCTCAGTATTTTAGAAGTTCTGAAATGTATTATTATAGTTTTAGGTTGTTGGCAGATTTCCATTCTTCGAAAAGAAAATCTTAAATTCAGCCAATTTCTCTGAAAACGTCAGATTTAGGAGCAGTAGTACCTTAAAATGCAGCACACCTTCCTCCTCTAAGGGGCTCTCACTTTGTATTAGACATTGGATGAAGGAGGTCCTCAGCTATTGCTTCTGGGGTTTACATGGTCATTTCTGACCCAAGCAGCTCCCCAACTTGAGCTTGAATTTTAAATTGAAGTGTGTGTGTGTGTGTGCGCGCGCGCGTATGTCTGGTCAAAATGACATTGTTTTTAAGAGTAACCCCAGGCCAACTTGGGGGAGGGGCAGCATGATGGAAATAGAATTGAGTTTTAGATACGGGAATGTTAACGACACAAATTGATTTTGAGAAGATGTAGCAGAGGAGTGAGCTACAGGCCACAGAGGAGACTCTGAAAGTTCAGATTTGTGAAGATCTAAAAGATTATAGTAAAATTTGGTTCTTTTTGAGCCAAACAAAACCCCACCAAAAACAAAACACCAAAAAAAAAAGTTATAGAAAAGGAATAAACAAAGGATGACCAAGGTTCTTGATTAGATCTTTGTCCTACATTGCATTCCAGGAAAAGGAAAGTCTGTTTAGAGGGACTTGGCCAAGTGACTTAGGGGAGAACAGTGTTAACCTAGACTTCCAGTGAAAACTGGAGCCCAAAGAGGATCTTATTTCATAATAAACAAAAAAATCCTGGCCAATCCATTCTGATTGACAGAGGTAGGGGAGGTTGAGCATATACAAATTAGGAAGTAAAATTGCAGACAGCTATTAAAGGCCTGTTTAATAGTAACTTGTGCAAGTTGTAAAAATAGATACTTTAAATCATCTTCCTTGGATCTCCACATATGGTAGAAAAATGGCACATGCGCTTCCACCCGCGGACTCTGTGCGGATCTGGAGAGGAGGCATTGGGGAAGAGGAAGTGCAGCCCTTGATGCTGTCAATGCCACGCAGAGCAGCTCAAGTGTTGGGATACTGCCTGGCAGGCTTCCTGTTGGGAGCATGATTGGCGGTCTTATTTTCCTAAGTCTGTTGTGAAATGACATAAATAAGATTCTCTTTTACCTACTACTAGGTCTTGCGTAAGTTGCATGCAATTTTTCCCTTAAATCTTTTAGCAATGAACATTTGCAGGCTCAACTGAGGTCATTTGGTTGCAAACCTAAAATTGCCCAATAATTTTCACATTTGCAATGTCCCGAGGGAGGAGGAGCTAAGGGAGAAGCCATGAGTCAGTTAATTCAACCAACACCAGCTGATTATTGACAAGGCTCCTGTTCTGTGCTGGGGATATGAAATTGAATGAGGTAAGATCTCTGTGCTTGAAGGGTTCACGGCCGGTTGAGGGAGATGGACCCATGAAGAGATCAGTAAATGTTACAGTGGAGGAATGAGTGAGAGGAGAGTAGGCAGGAGACACTGTCTACACCAAGAGAGGATTTCTGGAACAGAGCATAGATTTCACCAGTGGCCCTTCAGAGCCAAAGTGAGGATGTCTCGAGTGCTGCCACAGCGAGAGGACTAAAAGCAGTTGTCTGCATTCCAGCGCACTACCAGAATGCACCCCAACTCACCCCCACCAGAGACACTGGATCATCAGAGGCTGCATGTGAATCATGCTATTTTGGTCTGTACATAATTACCTTAAAGAAAGAAGAATGGTGAAATATTTTTTTTTCTTTACTGCACTCAACAGCAGTGCTTCTCAAACTCTCTGGGTGAAGGGCAAGTGTTCCCCACCCCCATCCCTTGTAAAATATAGCACAGTTGGTTCTTGGAAAAATGTTCATGGGCTGGGATGCCACGAGGTTACATTTCTATAATGGTGTCTAAATGCTTATTCTTAATTTCTGTACTCATCTCACCACAGTTGAGCGATGACAGTCTATAGACCACACCTGGAGTAGCCCTGCTTGCAGCGTGTGCTTTTGGAGAACCTGTGGACATTCTGTGTGTGTGGTCTTAATACCTGGGACGGTAGTGCGTGCCTGTGGGTCCTGGAGGCAAACCTCCTTGGTTCAAATCCTGGCTCCCCGACTTAATAGCTATGTGACTTAACTTTCTTTTTTTTTTTATAATATATTTTATTGATTTTTACAGAGGAAGGGAGAGGGATAGAGAGTTAGAAACATCAATCAGCTGCCTCCAGCACACCCCCTACTGGGGATGTGCCCGCAACCAAGGTACATGCCCTTGACTGGAATCGAACCTGGGACCCTTCAGTCTGCAGGCTGACGCTCTATCCACTGAGCCAAACCAGTTAGGGCGTGACTTTCTAATCCTCAACTTCCATAGCTGTAAAATAGGGATAATTCATTTGTCTCATAGGATTGTTGTTTAGAGTAAAGAATAATGCATATACAAGGTGAGCACAGTGTTTACTAACAATGGAAGTGGTGGTAAGGGGAGGAGAAGAAATAGTTGGTATTTTGACCATTATCCTATCCTTTATAATAAAGAGCTAATATGCTAATTAGACCAAACAGCAGAACGAGACCGTCTGGACAAAGCCGGGGCTTCGAGGGCCAAGCCCCTTGCACAAATTTCATGCATTGGGCCTGTAATTATCATTATAATGATTATTCTCATTATAACGATCATTATTATTATTGTCATGTTGACTTTTTTTTTAACCTGATGAACACTGTAACAAAAGTGATTGTTTCCTCATTTGTTTTTGCCATCAGAAATTAGTCATATTTGTTACCTGCCCATCTTTGGCAGGTGTACAGCATATCACAGCATGCGTTTTATTAACTCTCCTCACCCTGGTTCCAGCTCTGCTCTCACTCCCTCTGTTTCTCCTCAGCACGTCCTCACTCACTTACTCATTCACTCACTTCACCAAGGGCTCGCCCCTTCCTGCTGGTTTATACTATCAGGGTTTCCCTGGCACGCTTCTGCTTCGGGCCAGACCTGGAAATGTCACTGCCTTGCTCAGGTTGATTTATTGCTGAATCCTAGCATAGCACTCAGAGTCTGAATCTTTTAGCCCCTTTTTAATGCTCTCCTATCTGGCTGCTGTGTAGTAGTAACAAGAAATCACTCAGTGAATTCTTTGAGGCCTACCTAGAAGGTAGATTCCAGAAGAGAAGATTTTCTTTTGCTTATGCCAGATTCTCAGGGGTGCTACCAGTCTGAGAAAAACACTTTACCAAATCATAATAAGAGATGTTTTTTATTTTCTGGCTTTGTTTTCCTCCCACCACTTAGGTAATTGGTGAGTTTGGGCTGTAAATCCATTCAAGAGTCAATTCGTGGTTAAAATTTCTCTTGCAAAAGCAACTTTCCTTGCAGTCCTCAGAAGAAGGGGGTTGTGGGTAAGGAGGTTGGGAAGTATAAAGGAGAGAGCATTGATTTACCTCGGAATCACCCTCTCTCAGAGTTATCTGGGGACAGCACACCTTGGTTGGTGGACTGTCTCCTGCGCCCCCTTGTGGCCATGCAGGGTTTTCCTGTGTCAGGGTTGTTGGATGCCCTCAAGCATTCCTGTTTTGAGCTGATAATTCCTCATTAGCTCTTCAGATGCTTTAGAGAATTTCATTTTAATACAATAAGCTCTGTGCTAAGGATGTAAAAAAATTATTTTATTTATATTAGCAGAAATATATTACTTTAAAGTAGCAGAAGTCGCCATGTGATGTCTAAAGGGTCATATGCAAAATCCTATGAATCCATGAAATTTGTTTAGAATTCCAGAATCGCCCCATTCAAGGTAGTTCATATGAGATTAGTTTTATTAAGCTAAGATATAAAAATAGCTAGATTTTTGAATATTGTTACCTATTATAATGTTATAGATGATGTATTAGTTGATTTTTTTTTTTTTACATACAGCTCTTACTATCTGCACATTTGAATCTATAAAGGAATAGTGGTTCCAAGAATTTACATTCTAAACGCAGGACTTCTTAATCTAGTAATAAAGAAAGAGAACGATCACAGAAGAGGTCGTGGGATGCGCTACAAGTACCATCACTGTTCTCACCAGTGGCAGCATCACTAATGTTCACTGAGCACCTACCACATGTCCAACCCAACCCTACTATATTTTTAGTAACTTTTTGACTTGCTTATTTTTAGGTATGAGAAGTTCTTATGCAGGAGATATTTATCGACCTTCATTTATTCAGGATAATGAGCTCAGACACCTAGTCCTTAAGGTAAATAAAGAAATGTATTTGCCTAAGTTGCATTTGCCCTTTCATTTCTATTTGAATGGGAGGCAGATTTTCTTTAGTTTGCTTTCTGTTCTAAACATACAGGACTCTACATTACACCAAATTTCCTTTAATACAAAATTTAACTTACACAAGTAACCATGTCTTAGTTTGGGCTAATGAAAGTAGAGAGGGAAGCGAGGCACTTCCTAAAATATGGAGCAAGGCTTGTCTTTAATGCCAAGCCCCTCACACTGCCGAGTGCACTCACCTCTCATACGGTAGGACCTATTCCTCACCGGTACCTCCTGCAGAGCCGTCTGTCTTGTATCCTATTCCTTCAGGATCCTGTTCTCTGCCCATGAGCCAGCCACTGCTTACTTAATGAGTTGTTAGGCCAGGCTTTGGCATGGGTTTTTGGATTCACTGGTCTAGAGGTTTATTTGACATGGAAAATATGACCACGTCATTGGCTCATCCTGCCCCCAGGACTAAGTGTCTTGATCTTGTGCTATGACTACTGGGCTTTAACCTATAGTTTGGTTAAACAAAAAGATTCCTCATGTCCCTCTTTTATTTGAACAGCTGAATTTAAATATCATATTCCTGATACAAATATAACAGATTTTTTGTAGAAAACAGAAGTATTTTTAAAGACGGTGAAATATATAGTATGCTTTGGAAGCTTTCTCACTGATTTTTTTTTAAGCCATAACTTAATATAACCCCCAGAACACGCCTGCTTAATTCATGCCATGTTTGTTTCCAGTTGGTAAACATTAGTTTAAGAAATGTCAGGTGGGAGTGCCAGACTCTTCCTCTGTCCATACATATCCATTTCCAAGGTTGCTGCACAGGGGATTTACTGGGTATACTTATGGAAGTTGCCATCTATGAGAATTCTTAAAACTTAGTTTTGATTAATAGCTTATCATTATTCAAGAAGTATAAAAAGATGTACAGTAAAATACTTTCATGCCTTCCTCGTCCCCAGTATGCACATCTTTCCATCTGCACACATCCACAAGGCAGTCGTTACTGATGGGTATCTCTGCAGAGTTTCTGTATGCAGGTGTGTGGAATTTGGTATAGGTAATTTTTACATTGTGAAATATTTAACTAAATAATCCCTGGCTGAACTTCCCATGTGAAAAAAAAACCATTAATTTAGTCAGGGGTCCAAGGTGATGTTCTTTATAAATCTATTTATATACATCTTAAGACAATTTCTTAAAATTAATTTTACTACATTTATGACCACTCTGTTGGTTTTATTGCTACAACAGTTTCTTCAGAAAGGGAATGGATGTGTGTGAGAAAGACAGATGATATTTTTAAAATTTATTTTTGTATTTTTATATCCTAGACTGCAGAAGGCTTCCTGTTTGTGGTTGGATGTGAAAGAGGAAAAATTCTCTTCGTTTCTAAGTCAGTCTCCAAAATACTTAATTATGATCAGGTATGCAAAGGATATTTCCCACACTATGTTTAGATTTTTTGAACAAAGATTTCAGAGCTCTTTTTCTGAACCCTTTTTTCTATTGGGCTGTGTCCTGGGTTGGATTTTGTCTTTTGATAGTATGGTAACTTTTTTAACAGAGTGGTAAATCTAAGTTACACCATAAATTCACAGTTATTTTGTGACTTCCATATGATATGATAATATACTCGCTTTACTTTTACCAAGGGTAAAGTTTATTTTTTATTTATTTTTTTAATATATTTTTTATTGATTTCAGAGAGGAAGGGAGAGGGAGAGAGAAATACCAATGATGAGAGAGAACCATTGATCGGCTGCCTCCTGCACGCCCCCTGCTGGGGATTGAGCCCGCAACCCAAGCATGTGCTTTTGACGGGAATCAAACCTAGGACCTTCTAGTCCGCAGTCCAACGCTCTATCCACTGAGCCAAACCAGCTAGGGCACCAAGGTTAAAGTTTAAAATAAATCCTAATATGACTTAGAAGTAACATATATGAATGGGGGAATGTTAACAAGAGTTAATGAGAGTAAACAGAATACCAGTGGTGAGGTGTTTGTGTGTACCCAGTTATGGCTGGCTGTGCATGTATTTCTTTTTCTATCTACAGGTATGACCCTGCTTTTAACACTGTTGTTCTCATACAGTGTAGTAGATGCATCTTTGAGATTAACTAAAAACAACTTTAACAAAAGAAAGTATTATGTCTGTATGAAGATAGGTAGGAAAATTATGATACTGATTTTAAATGAATGTCTACTTTATATATAGGCTAGTTTGACTGGACAGAGCTTATTTGACTTCTTACATCCAAAAGATGTTGCCAAAGTAAAGGAACAGCTGTCTTCTGACATTTCACCAAGAGAGAAGTTAATAGATGTTAAAAGTAAGTGCTCATCTCAGTGTGCTTACCATTTCATGTAAATATAATTAGTACTTAAAAGTACAGCTATACAATGTTCTTGAAAAGTTAGATTTTTTTAAAAAAACAATATAATTATATAGACAATTCCTGTATTCATATAAAAATAAATACTATATTCATATGAAGATGCTTTGAGGAAAATGTGATTGCTTCATATTCACTCTTTTTGTATGCTAATAAAATCTTTACAAGAAAGTATCTTTTGGGATAAAAAATTGCTGAAGTTTTCACTATTCAGCTATCGCTGAGAGAGAATTATTCTCTTATATGGGTTAGGTCTATTCATTCTGAAACACCATGTATAATATTGCTTGGGAGTTATAAGTATTCTTTATTTTCTCTGAAAATGCTTACCTTCTCTGAAAATGCTTAGTGCCAAATAATCATTTATAATGTAAAATAATGATACTTTTTGCCATTGATTACTATTATAATTGAGGGTTTTTTTCTTTTTAATTTTTATTTCATTTAAAATGATCTTTATGCTCCACCCCTTTGGGGGGGGGTATAAAAATAAGTTGAAAGTTTGTAAGTTATCAAAAATATGATTGCTTGACATGTACATTTTTTGGTATGTTTCACTTTCTGGCTTACATTGATACTGTTTTAAATAACCATTTCTTTTCTATATATAAAAAATGTAATAGATGATCAGAAAAGTGTTAGGAGATAAATTTCAAAATTGCTTAAAAATAATCTTTTCTACCTATTCTCTTGCCTCCTCCTCCTGTGCAAGCGGGTTTGCAAGTTCACAGTCATTTCCATGGCAGAAGGACTCGAGTGTGCTCTGGCTCCAGACGGTCCTTTTTCTGTCGGATGAAGAGTTGTAAAGTCTCTGTCAAAGAAGAGCACGACTGCTCACCCGATGCAACGAAGAAAGGTATCGTTGTGAAGTGCCAGGTGGTTTAAGGCGTGGGTATGAAGTTAGTGTCCTAATTAACATCTCTGCACTTTAGCTGACCCCCTAGCCCAGTGGTCGGCAAACTCATTAGTCAACAGAGCCAAATATCAACAGTACAACGATTGAAATTTCTTTTGAGAGCCAAATTTTTTAAACTTAAACTATATAGGTAGGTACATTGTTATTAACTTAATTAGGGTACTCCTAAGGCTTAGGAAGAGCCACACTAAAGGGGCCAAAGAGCCGCATGTGGCCCGCGAGCCACAGTTTTGTCTCGAGAGCCGCAGTTTGCCGACCACGGCCCTAGCCTGATAGGGAGGAAGATTGCTTTGTGTTGTATTAGGTCTAGTGGGAGCTGAGTGACCATTGCCCTCACTGCAGTGGATAATAAAGAACCAAAGTACACACCCTAGGTATGCCTCCTTTAGGAGTTCATATTAACATTAAAGGGGGTGAAGACATGTAGACCAGCTGGGAGAACCTCAAGATACATTTCAAAAGATCTGTTCCCCAATAAGGCAGACCCTAAGGAATGAACAGTGGACACATTGAAGTTTTAAGAGGACAGCTTGGTGACATGCTTGTCCACCATAGTGAAAGTTGAATCCTGAGTTGAGAAGTGCCCAGTATGGAAGAGAAGATCGAGCCTGCTAAGTCTATAGCTCTGGCACCTTCCAGAAGTTTACCAGGCTCAAACCTTCAAAACAGAATACCAGCGGCAGCCCCAGGCCATCCTGCTGGAAGGAATGGAGAATGCAAGCCTATGGACAGGTCATGACCATGAAAACACAGGCAACATCTCTTTTCCAGGAAACCTTCCCTGACACCCTCCCCTTTCTGATTGGCTTGAGTCCTGGGTACCCACTTTTGGTAATCCTATCTAATAAAGAGGGAATATGCTAATTGACTCTCATGCTGTTGTGCACCTGCCTCCAGAGTCCCCCAGTCCCCTCAGTCCCCCAGCCACCCAGGGCTGGCCCGAGGCGCAGGCAAGCCTCAGATGGTGGCTGCCCAGCTGCCCAGGGCTGCCTGAGGCTCAGGTAACCAGGGCCGGCTAAGGCTTGCACTGCTGGCAGTGGCAGCAGCAGAGATGTGATGGGGGCATCGCCTTCCCCTGATCTCTGGGTCACCTCCGGCCCCCGAGGACTGTGAGAAGGGGCCAGCCAGGCTGAGGGACCCCCCCCATCCAGTGCATGGATTTTCATGCACTGGGCCCCTAGTCTATTCATAAAACTGAGCATCTATTATATTTGCTGCCGTTTCCACACTGTATTGAAATTATATTCTTTTATATTTGCCTCTCATACTAGAATGAGAGATTCGTCTCTCCATAGTTTCTCGCATATAGATATTCACACATTTACTGATGGCATAAGTGACCGTTCTCCTGTCCTTTGTTCCTGATTGGTGGACCACATAATTGACTCAGAGCCCAAAGAATAGTTAAGAATCCAGTGAATTAATTACATTGTAATGTTTTTGTTTTTCCCAAGAAGCAATTGGGACATATTTTAAAAGTTTTTATCCTAAGAAGTTTTTAGCAAATGCTATGGACTGAATTGTGTCCCCTAAAATTCATTTGTTGAACCTCTCACCCCTCAATGTGATGGTATTTGGAGATGGGATCTTTGGGAGATAATTAGGTTTAGGTGAAGTCATGAGAGTGGGGCCCTCATGATGTGATTAGTGCCCTTATAAGAAGGGACACCTGAGAGTTTACAGTCTGTGAGCACAAAGCTATATGGTAGCCGTCTATGAACCCTCACCAGAACTCAGCTATGTGCCCATCCTGATCTCAGAATTCCAGCCTCTACAATTGTGAGGAAATAAATATCTGTTGGTTAAGCCACCCAGTCTGTGATCGTTTGTCATGGGATCCAAGGCTAAGACAGCAAACAGCTTGGACCATTTTCTGTATCATAGCTCCCAGAAGTAAAATGAAAAGGCTCTGTAGTGGGAGCCAAAGGAATCTGGGGCTTATGGGAGATAAATGTGTTTATTCAATGGGCACTTTACAGTTTGGCTTGAAATACGGAACTACAAGTCACAAATTGGTGGTAGGACTCTACCTTGTCTGGCTCTTTCTTCTTTGTGTCACCTTAGATTTTTTTACTTCTTTTTTTGTGTGAAATTCTAGGACAGCATATAACTGAATATATACAACTTGGTGGATTTTTCTTAGCTATGGGATCCCAAGTCAGTTGCTGATGATAATCTTGGAAGTATAAAACTTTCCATGTGTGGTCTTTTAACCCTTTGCAAAGATACAAAAAGGAAAGTTACACACCCTTTAGACAGCTGCATGGTTCTGTCATAGTATTTTGAGGCAGTCTTGTAAATATTGAATCTTAAGTAAAAACACATGTGTATAGTCATAGGTTAAAAAAATCTAAACATCATTCTTGAAGAATGTAATAATCAAACTTTGGTTCTTCCATGTGGCTTCTAAAAGGATTTTTTTAAAAAAAATTTATTATTAGAAGTTTGAGATTTATAGGAGAGGCAGGGAAAAATTTTTTCCTTTGAAATAAATATTGATAATCTTACTGGAAAAACTACAGATATTTTAAGAATATTTGGCAAATGGTTAATAAAAGCTGATTAATAGTTGAATTCTGTGATGAGCTGAAGGAACTGACAGATTTTTAAGTCCCTCTAATGTTCCAGGTTCTCATCTAAGCTCTGCCTCACATCAGCCATGCTGGTGGCCGGGTTTTAGGACGGAGTGGAAAGGGCCTGGGCTCTGAATTTATTAAGGTTTTAGTGTCGGGTCTGCTGCTCAACAACTGTGCCACCTTAGGCAGGCTCCTCTCAATCTGGGGAAAATGGGGTGATGGTCTGCACTGTTTCCCCATAACGCACATGTTGAAGTGGAAGCCCTAGCTCCCCATGTGAGGGGACCTGGAGATAGGGCCTTTAACGAAGGAATGAAGGGTAAGTGAGGTCCTAAGAGTGTGGCCCTAATCCGGTAGGACTGGTGTTTCACAAGAAGAGGGAGAGACACCTGGAATGCACCCCCACAGAGAGGAGGCCACATGAGGACACAATGAACGTCTCCTGTCTGCAAGTGAAGCAGAGGCCCCAGGAGAAACCAAACAGCCAACCCCTTGATCCTGAACTTCTAGCCACCAGAACTGTGAGAAAAGTAAATTTCTATCGGTTAAGTCACCCAGTCTGTGGTATTTTGTTACGGCAGTCCTCGAAGACTGATAAGATAGGTCTGCTATAGCTCATGGGAGCAGGGTTAGGATTGCATGTGGCTAAGTGCAGTGCTTGGCTCCTAGTAAGCACTCAGTAAATGAAAGCCATTATTTGTGACTCAGAGAAAAAAGAAGGAAAATAAAAGGGCAAGAAGAAAATTAGTAATTATTTAAAATCTATATGCCCAGCATTTTGCTTAAGTACCTAATTCAATCTGCGTAACAGTACTGTGCAAACCACCCCCATTTTGCAGATGAGGAAACTGAAGCCCTAAAAGGTTATGCAATTTGTCTAAAGTCACAGAGAAAGTGGCAGAGTCAAATCTAGCATTAACATCTGTATGCCTTCCACTCTGCCGCGCCACCTATGAGAGGAGCTGCCTAGATGCCAAAGGCTATTAATGACAGAGAGCCACCCTCGGCGATTTCTGCAGTGGAAACACATCTAGGGGTTGGCTTCCCTTGTAGGAATGCACTTCTGCCCACACACGGAGGTTCAGTCCCACATCAAGCTGGGCCACACAGATGCCTGCACTGGGAGTCACATAGCTTCTCAAAGAAGAACTTTTTAGTCTACTCAAGCACTTGAACCAAATATTCACTTGACACTCCAGCACTGTGGGCCAAAGGCATGAGGCCAGTCTGGCCTAAGGAATGGTAAGGGCATGTGTTAACAATCAGTAAGGCCCTTCCTCGCAGTGCCTGGTGTTTGAGAACTGCCTACAGACAGACATGTAGACAGATGCCTGGACCAGGATGAGGTTAACGGCACAATGGAACCCTGGTGCGCCACATGGATGACTTCCCACACATGTGATCATTTTGGATTGTGCTTAACCAAGGAGAAGGTCTGTCGAGTGAAATAAACATTTTGCATACAGTTACTACTAAATCATTCTTTCCAGTCATGATTAGCCAATGTCATCGACTATTTTAAGATCACTCCCTATTAATGATGAAAGTTAATAAAGGTATTTTTCTTCCCTTTTACCATGACATGTTACATTACCTTTTTTTGTTATTTTTAAGACTATTTTTTAAAAATATGTTTTTATTGATTTTTTTTTTTAGAGAGAGAGGAAGGGAGAGGGATAAAGAGATAAAAACATTGATTGACTGCCTTCTGCACACCCCCTTCGAGCCCAACCCTGGCATGTGCCCTGACCAGGAATTGAACTAGCAACCTCTTGGTTCATTGGACGATGCTCAACCACTGAACCACACCAGCCAGGATAAGACTATTTTTTAGAGCAGTTTTAGGTTTGCAACAAAATTGAGAGAGGTAGAGAGATTTCCCATATATTCTTGGCCCCCACACATGCATAGCTTCCCCCATTGTCAACATCTTCCACCAGAATGGTATATATATTTTTTTCACCAAGGATGAAACCCACATTAACACATCATAATCACCCAAAGTCCATAATTTACCTTAGAGTTCATTCTTGCTGTTGTACATTTTGTGGGTTTAGACAAATATATAATGACATATGTCCATCATTATAATATCATACAAATTATCTTCATAAAAATTCTCTGTGCTCTGCCTATTCATCTCTTACCACCACCACCCCTGGCAAACACTAATCTTTTGACTCCATAGTTTTGTCTTAGTTACATTTAAATATTAAAAAAGAGAGTAGAAAACAGCCCTTTTAATGATAATTAAAACTGAATTTAAGATTTATGGAATGGCTATTTCCAAAATTAGCCACCAGTCACTCATAGCAACATAGGTTTGAACTGTGTGGACATGCAGATTTTTTTTTTTAATAAACACCATAAATGTATTTTCTCATGATTTTCTTAATATTTTATTTTCTTTAGCTTTATTGCAAGAGTGTAGTATATAATACATATAATGCGCAAAATGTGTTCATTGACTTGTTATTGGTAAGGCTTCTGGTCAACCCATACACACACACACCACATTGTTCAAGGGTCAACTGTACTATTCTCTCTGATTTTGTGTGTGTTTGAGATTTTCCGTAGTAAAAGTTTAGAAAAAATTAGCAAGAGTGACACTAAAAACATGATTTCTACCCTGATTCTAATGTCATAGATTTAGACTTTGAAAAGGATTCTAAGATAAGAATAAAATTTCTCTTGTATCTCAGCTTGTGAAATCAAAGGTTGATGAAGTATGGATGACCACTTCCAAACACCTTAGGTATTTCTTAAGTTTATCTTAGTAAGATAATCAGTCATACAGTAATGCACCCAGAATCCATTGGCTTCTTGCGCAAGTGTGGCCGATGCTGTCAGTTCCACATGACGTAGCCTCTCAGCACCTACCCCTTCACGGGCACCCCATCTGGTTTACAGTGTCTGACTTGTGAAATCAAAGGTTGATGAAGGATGGGTGACCACTTGCAAACATCTTAGGTAGTTCTTAAGTTTATTTAGTAAGATAATCAGTCATACAGTAATGCACCCAGAATCCATTGGCTTCTTGCGCAAGTGTGGCCGATGCTGTCAGTTCCACATGACGTAGCCTCTCAGCACCTACCCCTTCACGGGCACCCCATCTGGTTTACAGTGTCTGACCCCTGTGATTCTGTTTGACCTCTTTCTCTGGTCTTTGGCGCCAGCATACTTCCCTGGGTTGATGATGGTGACATTAAACAGGATAAGGGATAAGTGATAAACTTGGTTCAGGGTTGGAAGGGAGAATGACTTGTAATTTAAGGTACCTTTGGACCATGGAGGGGGTGATGTGTATTAGGTGTTGAACACAAGGTCCTGTGCATGGCTTACAAAAGTCAAACTGTTGCCTGCTCTGTCGCCATTTCCCCATCGCAAACCATGCTCCAGCCACATCTGACTGCTATCTCTTGACTCTCAGTTTGCAGTGGCTGTTCCCTCTAACTGGAATACCTTTTTGTAACCCCCCTTCCCCCCCATTATCCAGGCAAGTCCTGTTTGGACCCCTGTGACAGAGCACTCACTGTCATCAAATAGCAGGGCATTGGTGGCTCAGGAAGGGAGTTCTGGAGCCAGCTTGTCTGGATGTAAACCTTGGCTCCACCCTCCCTGCCATGACCTTGGTGTTAACTCAGTTTCCTAACACAGTGGGGACAATAGTAGAACACCGCACAGGACTATTAATACATTAACATATGAATTATGCATTTAAAGCACTTAAAACAGAGCATAGCACATCAAGTGTGCTCTAAATCTTTGCTGTTACTATTGCTATTTCATAGGACAGCCCATATCATTTTCTATTTAAAAACACGTTTTTAAAAGAATCGTTGTAGTAACAGTCTTATCAAATAGTGCCGATTTAAAACAATGACTGTCCTGGTCTTTTCTAAAGGTTATCACAAATGGTTGAAGTAATTTTTACCAGCCCTTTTTTTCTTCTTTTTAATCTTCAAGTCACTTTTTGTGTGGATTGCCATACTCTGTAGACTGCCTGCCTTTTATGCCTGTGTTGCATTTCATTGTTTTCTTAAGCATTTCCTGATATTTGAGCATATAGATTATCTTCAGTTTTTTTATTTTTCTAGTTGGACCTGCTTGACAAACTTTTCCTGTGAGTTAAGCTTGGGATTTTTTTTTTTTCTGAAAGTGAAATTTGAGTCAAATTTTATTTTATACATTTAATTATAAATTTCTCCAAGTGGTCTCCAAACTTTGTCTATAATCTAGTATAACCATTATAAGTACTAACATAAGAAATTTAAGAATGTATACATAATTATCCTTTGAATTTAGGAATATAAATTATATCAAAATTTTAATAAGCTGAAAACAGTATCTTTGTGGCTAAAGGCAAGAGACCATGAAGTTTAACTTTTTCTAATAGATATAAATTACAGTATTTTTAAAAATTGACTTAGAAATAAATAAATATAGACCTGTTTAAACCTAAATTAAAGCAGTCTGCTTACTTTTTGATATAGTACTTATAGTTTAATTCCTGAGGGAAAATAACCCATTAAGAATAAAGTGGTTAAACACAATCGATGATTTCAATGAAATACATTATTTGAATATTTCAAAGCACATTATAACTCATGTCAATGTAAGAAATATAAGAATTCATAATGATTCAAATGCTATTTTATCTTTTGTCCCCCAGTTTTATTGAGATACAATTGACAAATGCTCTTTTAAAAAAAACTTTTGAATTAGATCATAGGAAATTCTGCACTGTCCACTGCACTGGTTACTTGAGAAGCTGGCCTACAAATACTATTGGAATGGAAGAAGAAAGGAACAATAAGGAAGACAGCAATTTCACCTGCCTTGTTGCCATTGGGAGATTATATCCAAATACTGTCCCACAGAACAGTGGAGAGGTTAAAGTGAAACCAACTGAATTTATAACCCGTTTTGCAATGAATGGAAAATTTGTCTATGTGGACCAAAGGTAACATTTGTATGCCTTAATGACTAGAGTTCAATGGGATATTGAAGGCTATTAAAATGTGGCTTAGGACTGTTGGACTTTTTCTTTTAAGGCTTCAAAACAGGAAATAAAGTCTAAATGAAATAACAATATGGATATTATCAGTAAATTTGTTCAAGCCAAAATGTAAACTTGGAATATCTCTTAGCCAGTGGCGCAGAAACTGGGCATGGGTCTCTGGCCACAATTTCACTGGCGGTGGATTGGGTGGGTGTCCTCTGGAGTAGCCTCGTGCCTGGGTGTCCATTCTGTTTTGCAGCTCTGGTCTGGGTTAGTGATGCCCCTAAGTTACTCATCCCCGAGTCCACTTCCTTACTGTCCTGACCATGTATGGACCTTCAGGATTCTGGAAGGAATTTGTTCACCAATTCTAAGTTTCTTTTTAATTTTAAAACCAGGGCAACAGCAATTTTAGGATATCTGCCTCAGGAACTTTTGGGAACTTCTTGTTATGAATATTTTCATCAAGATGACCATAGTAAATTGACTAACAAGCACAAAGCAGGTATGCATTGAGTGGGGTAAGGTTTGGGTACTTTTTAATTGCAGCTTCAACTCTTAATTTCTCATTCCTGTGAAATCCAAAACTTGAATTAATCCTCAGAAGTTTGATTTATATAGTGGTAGACCGTTATACTAATTATGATCTTTTCTTGTTAAGTTCTACAGAGTAAAGAGAAAATATTTACAGATTCATACAAATTCAGAGCAAAAGATGGCTCTTTTGTAACTTTAAAAAGCCAGTGGTTTAGTTTCACAAATCCTTGGACCAAAGAACTGGAATATATTGTGTCTGTCAACACTTTAGTTTTGTAAGTAATTTTTTTATGTTGGTAAGACCTTTTATTAATTTCAAATGAATATCTTTGCTTCCCTCTTCTCATCTTGCTGACTTATTAAAACTGTCTTACCTTCTGACTTTATATTACAACTGAGATATACATTGAGTGGCCAGATTATTATGACCACCTGACATTTGTAGGCAAATTAGCTGTACACTGCATCGTATGGGATATGGAAGCCGAAGGCCTGTTCGAACACCTTTGCTGTCTGCAGTTACCAAGATAAAACGTCTCCAATCTCACAGGAACACAAGGATTGGACAGTCGAGCATTGGAAAAAAGTCATGTGGTTCGATGAATCACGTTTCCAGTTGCATCATGCAGATGGCAGAGTGAGAATTTGGCGGAAACAGCATGAAAGCATGCACCCCACATGCATGAGTACAACCCTTCAAGCTGGTGGGGGCAGTGTTATGGTTTGAGGCATGTTTTCCTGGCATGATTTGGGCCCTTTAATTCGTGTGGAACAACGTCTGAATAGCACAACAGACCTAAGTATCATTGCTCATCAACTTCATCCTATCATGTTGATGGCGTATCCCAATGGAGATGGCTTCTTCCAACAAGACAATGAGCCATGCCACGGTGCTCGTATTGTGCAGGAGTGGTTTCAAGAACATGAGGGAGACTTTACCTTGCTTAGGTGGCCCCCACAATCACCAGATCTCAATCCAATTGAGCATTTGTGGGATGAAGTTAAAAGAGCCATCAGGCAGCTGGGTCCGCAACCATCAAATCTCACAGAACTGGACAGTGCTATTCATCAGGGATGGTGTCAGATTCCTCGCATCACCTTTCAATATCTCATGGAGTCAATGCCAAGAAGAATCGCCGCAGTATTGAAGGCAAAAGGTGGCCCAACGAAGTACTGATGGGGTGGTCATAATAATCTGGCCACTCAGTGTATATTGAGTACTTCACTCACTGTCTGTTGGCATTAGTTCTCAGGATAAGCTGAAAGTTTGCCCTTATAAAATATATTCTTTTTTGCGTAGTATAAAATATGACAGTGAAGTGCTTTCTTCAAACCTCTCCTTCCTACCCTCCATGGCTGTGTCTTATCCCATCACTAAGTGATATGGATGTGACTTTAAACTGTATATCACTGTAAGAAGTTGTTTGTCCTCCACATCATTTTGCATGAACATCTTCTAAGCCTGGGGTACCACAGGTGGCTGTGCAGAGCCCTTGGTGGAGGGATGAGCAGCAATCCAGCCCAAGCACTGCTTGCCAAGTCCTGGTCTATGCCGTCAGCCTGAAGGAAGAGCCAGCTTTTCCTCATTTGCACAATATGCTAGCATGGCCCTGTTCTAAGTTTATTCTTTTTCTATACTTTTTTAAAATTGCTACAATGTTTCATCAAACCTATTTCCTTATTTATAATATTTAGCTTTATTTAAAAGCTGCGGAAGCTGTTCCAGCAGTATCCGGCTACCTGTTTCAATAACCCTTGCCTTCTTATCATCAGTGTATGAACTGACAGTTTGTAACTATGACAACATGTACTTCCAATAACCCTTGCCTTCTTATTATGAACTGACAGTTTGTAACTATGACAACATGTACTTTATAGGGTAATTGGGCATTTGGTACTGAGCACATTAGTACCTTGATCTCTGGTGGTAATATTAACAATATGCATATATAAAAAAATTAAATACAGTTACTCTAACACTTCCCTTAAAAATGGTAGAAAAAGCACCATTTTACTGGCAATGAATTGGGTGGGTGTCCCAATCTAAAAAAGATGTCACTGGTGGTGTTTCTAAATTCTAGGGGACACAGCGAGACTGGAGGAGCATCGTCACTTCCTTACAGCTCTCAATCATTGGAAGGTAAGCCTAGGTTTAGATGATGGAAACTTATTACCAAGACTATTACTATTGTTACTATCTTTTTCTGTCCTGGAGAGGTAAAAATCTCAAGGTGAAGTTGAAAAGACTTCTGTAGGTTCAGTTATCCTCCACAGAATTCACACAGTACTTTGGTCACACCTCCGTTATAATCTTAGGTTGTATTGCAGTTCGTTGTTCACTCAGCGGGCTGACCACAGGCTGAGTCTGAGAGTAGGAATGGTGTTTTATCCATCCTCTCTCCCTGGCAGCTAGCACAGTTCCTTGTACTTCGTGGCACTCAAAGTATCAGTTGGGCACATTAATAAAAAGCATTAAGGGGAAGTTTTTGCTTATATCCATTTTTCACCACAGGAATTACATAACATAGCCCTTGCATAAGTAAAAATATTAGGAAATATTAAAAATAAACTAGTATTGCTCTGCCTTTAGTATCAATATTAAAGTAGGTGGGAACTGTCTGTACTCAAAGGCTACAGGTCAGTGACTCTCTACACATTTGATTCATACACACTTTTGAATAAACATCTTAAACCATCATGCATTATGTTGGTAATGCAAGCATGAATGTTTCTAACAATTTAAGATGCGGCTAGTCTGTTTCTTTTAAAGATAGAAATATTTGAAAGAAATATATCAACCAAAGATATGTACTTTTTTAAAGTCCTCAATTGAATTTTCCTTCTGTTGTTTAGAGTCCTGTGTCAGTGTGCCTGGACTGTGCACCGGCACAGTGCTTGGTGCTGGCAGTATCGGCACAGATATTGCAAATGAAGCTCTGGACTTACAAAGGTAATGTTTCATCTTTTGCAAATATTACAAGAAAAGTTATTATGCTTATAAAACCAATATTCCAAAATCAATGTTTCCTCTATGCAAACAGTAACCAGTTCAACAATATAATGGAAGAGAAGATCACCTTTACGGTAGCAACAAAACAGATAAAAAGGTAATTAGATATAAATTTTACAAGAAGTATCTAGAACTTCATGGGGAAAAAAGTTAAAATGCAGATGATTTGAATAACTTTCCCGATATAAGTTATTTTTTAATGGGAAGACTCAGTATTGTAAGGATGTCAGTGTTCCCTGAACTAACCTATGAATTCAATGTGAATCCAGTCAAAATGGTTTTTTTTTTAGAATCCAACAAATGGTAGTAACTACATTAGAATATCCATCAAAATTCTAAAAAAAAAATTGATTGAGACTAAAACGATCAGATATTATATTATAAAGCTATAGTCACAAAAACATTTTGATTAATAAAAAAATAGGTTTCAGAAAATAGATTAATGAAATAATAGATTTCAGAAAAGATTCAAACACATATGGAAATTTATTATATGGTAAAAGTGGCATTTCCTTCACTAAGAGGAAATAGATTAAACTGTTAAGGGCATTATAATAACTCTGAAACCATTTGGGAAAACAAAGAAAGCTAGACCCCATTTTTATTCTTTATACTAATATGAATTCCAAATAAATCAAAGAGTTTAAAGTAAACCAATAAAAGTATTTTAAACAGAGGTATAAATTTTGTAATCTTACTTTGGATCATCGTACATCCAGAATTCATGAAGAAAAAAATATGATAAATTATATAAAAACTCAAAACTTAGGCATAACTATAACTATTTTAACAAAGTTAAAAGAAATTATAAACTGCACATAATGTGTGTATTTCACATGACAAAACGGACTAATTTTAATATATGAAGAGTTTATAGTATAAAGTTATTAAACTCTCTGTATATTTTATATACTATATACTAACCTTAATCTGTACTAAACTTTATATATAGTATAAAGAATAAAGTTATTAGCCAATTTTTAAAAATAGTCAATAATAAAAAATGTTGGACAGTGGACGTGTAGAAAAAAACACAAATGGCTAAGAAACTAAAAATTGCTCAACCCCACTCACAGTTAAAAACATATATGTACAAACTGAAAGAAATGCCTGTTTTCATTTAGAAGGCTGTCAAAGATTTGAATGTTTGATGATATTGGTGAGAGTGTGAGAAAACAGTCACTCTTAAACTGTTTGTGGGGATATATTAGTCCAGCTGCTATGGAAGGCAACTTGACTACACCTATCCGAAATGTAAGTGTACGTAACCCTAGACTCAGCAGTTCTGCCCCAGGAGCAAATAGCCTTATACAGCCTTGCAAAGATCTATGAACAAGACATTGATGTGTTTTTTTCACAGTAGTGCTTTAAATATTTAAATATAACTTGTTATGGCATATTCATACAATGGAGTACTCCGTTGAAAATTAGGTAGCTCTATATACGCTAATATGGAAAGTTGTTTAAAATACATGGTTAATAGAAAAAAAGAACAAGAACAGAACAAAAGGGTAGTGTGTATAATAACCCACGTATATAAGGCAAAAGAAAGGTGTGTATGTAGGCCCATAATTGCCCATCTAAATCTCTGGAGGCAATGTAGGTTTTGAACTCAGAATTTCTTTAGATTTTAGAAAGATTGTGTTTTGGAATTAAGTTTTTAAAGAGTTATGTGTAATATGTCCAGAGAATATCATGGGCAGCACCCCATACTCAATTAAATTATTATTTCTGCAATGAAGTATTTATAAATTAAATGGTCAGGGAGGATGGGAGATTAGAGATTGGGGTATATACATTAAACAAGTTTGGGAAAGAATCATGATTGAAGCTGTGTGTTGGGTATATGAGATTTCATTATACTATCTACTTTTATATCTGTTTGAAGTTTTCCATAATAAAGCTTAAAAATATATTTCTTGGAGTGAGGTTTTGTAAATACATGTAGTAAGACAGAGTGGGATAAAAAAAGAAAATAGCTTCATACCAGTCAGGTCAGGTTTTGCCGAGTTCAGATCAATTCAGATTTTGCTGCTAAATGAATTATGGAAAATCTTTCTGGTGTCCAGGTGTTTTAGATTTTGAAATTGTAGAGAAGGAACTTATAACTGGATGATGTATAACAATACAAGTAATTTGTTCAGAATTTCTTACCTCCCATAATGGGACTAGGTTTTGTGGGATGGGAAATGTAGAAGAGAGAAATTTTTGCTTTTTCTTTTCTTTTTGTATTTTTAATTTGTATTTTGTATTTGTATTTTTAGTTTGTATTTTTAATTTTTTAAATTAGAAGTAGTTTAAATTGAAAAAAAATTACTAGTAAGACATTTATCATGTCTTGATGGATCCCTGGGTCGCTTCCACCTTGTGGCTACTGTGAGTAATGATGCTGTCGATGTGGGTGTACAAATTAAGTTCTAGTCCTTGCTTTCAGTTCTTTGGGGTATAGACCTAGAAGCAGAATTGCTAGATCATTTGGTAATTCTGTTTAGCTTTTTGAGGAACTGCTATTATGTTTTCCATTTTACATTCTCCACCAACTGCACAAGGGTTCCAATTTCTCACCAATGCTTGTTATTTTATGTTTTTTGTGGGGTTTTTTTTTTAATAGTCATCCAAACGGGTGTGAAGTGGTATCTCATTGTGGTTTTGTTAGTCCAGAGTTTCATTTGTGATATCTGTTCCGATACTACCAGCATCCCTATAATTAGTGATGTGAATCTTTTCATGTGCTTATCTGCCATTTGTATATCTTTTTTGGAGAAATGTCAATTTAGGTCCTTTGCCCGTTTTTCAGTTGTGTTATTTATTTTTTTGTTATTATTGAGTTGTAGGAGTGATTTGTAAATATTTTCCCCCAATCTCTGGGGTGCCTTTTCACTCTGTTGATAGTGTCCTTTGATGCCCAGAAGTTTTCAACTTTGATAAATTCCGACTGTATCTCTTCTTTTGTTACGTGTGCTTTTGGTATATCCAAGAAATCTCTGCCAAGTCCAATGTCATGAAGCCTCTTCTCTATGTTGTTTGCTGACAGTTTTATAGTTCTAGGTCTTACATTTGGGTCTTTGATCCATTTGAAGTTAATTTTGGTATATGGGGTAAGGTAATAGCCCAACTTCCTTCTTCAGCATGTGGATATCCTAGTTTTCCCAGCACCATTTGTTGAAAAGACTGTCTTTTCCCCCCATTGAATGGTCTTAGAACCCTTGTTGAAAATCATTTGACCATATATGCTGAAGGGCTTTAAAAAAAATTTTTTTTTTCAGAGAGGAAGGGAGAGGGAGCGAGAGAAACATCAATGATGAGAGAGAATCATTGATTGGCTGCCTCCTGCACACCCCCTACTGGGGATTGAGCCCCCATTGCGGGCATGTGCCCTTGACCGGAATCGAACCTGGGACCCTTCTTTCTGCAGGCTGATGCTCTATCCACTAAGCCAAAGCAGCTAGGGCTGGAAGGCCATTTTAAGAGGAGTGGAAATTAAGCCAAACATTGACAGTTGGGTCCCGTTAGAATGGCCCGGATGCAGTGGGGAAGGCGTTTATGTATGGAGGCACTTCAGCCATTGTGTAGAGGTGGGTGAGAGAAAGCGTGGTGGTTTCAGGGGACAATAAGGAGACTTCACTGAGAGAGGAATTAGGTTGCTGAAATCAATGGGGAGTTTAAGGTGAAGTCAAGCAGGGAGGGACTTAAGTAGCAGATTTCTACCCAGTGGACTAACATGAAGGAAGCCATGCTTCAAAAGATTAATCTGGTATAGGGGGAGGGGTCGCCAAAGCCAAGTGAGCAGGTGGTGATTGAAAGCCATGAACCGCAGAATGAGAAGCCAGCCACGCTCTTTACATTGGCTGTCCTGTGAAAAATCCCCAAGACAGGCCACTGGCCTTTTCTTCTGTTTTTAGACCGAATTCATTCCATTTCTGTATTAATTTCTCCCTATGTAATTTCTTGTCAGTTGCCGTCTTGGGAATACATAAACACATGAAGTTATGTTTATGCCATTATGTGTTTCACATAATTGAGCATTTAATAGTATATGTTACTGTCAGTTTTACACATTTAAGTCTCACTGAAGGATTAATTATCAACATGTATGATTATATTTTTGTCATGTGTCTATCATCCCTGAGGATGACCTATTACAGTAAAAATATCACACATTTTCTACTTAAAGGTTGCAAAATGTTAGGATATCTTTCTTTACTTACAATTCTGCTGTTTGGTTATCTTGATAAGAAACCAAGTTTTGATGTGAATGCCTGTTTTAAACTAAGTGTGTTATAGTATTCTATTATTTTGTGACGTGCTATATTAAGATAAGTAACATGATTTACTTATGGGCTTTTACCTCAGCGTTTTATGTTTCTATTTACTACGGAGTGTTTTCAGCTCTCCATAGTCAAAAACAATCTGGCACCCAACAAGTTGGTCTATTGTGAAAACTGTCATGATACTCAGTCTCATGTTCCTTCACTGTATTTTTTTTTATCAGATTGTGATATATTCAGAGGAGAAAATTTCCTTCTAAAAATATATAAGTACAGAAAATGTTTTATGTATCACTTTTTAAAGGTTACAGTCTTCTTCATCCTTGGGTGATTCAAGTCCAACAGGTTTAATGAAAGATACTCACACTATAAACTGCAGGAATGTAAGTACAAACATAAGTGATAATATTCTTGAAATAAATGAACAATAAAATTTGCTCCTTGTGGATGGTTCCTCCTGAGAAAGAAAGCCATCTTAAAAAATAAATGAACCCTTTTCTAGCTAGTCCGTGGTTTAATAGGCCACGTAGAATAGTGGTTCAGAGTGAAGTTGCTGGAACCATATGATCTGGGTCCAAAGTTGTGACTCAGACACTTACTGCTGCTTAACCCCAGGTCGGTTTTTTAAACTCCATGCCTTGATTTCCTCTTTTGTAAAACTGGAATAATAATGGCACCAATTTCTTTGGATGGTGTATGAATTAAGTGATTAAGTATGAAAACAAGCAAAAGCTTAACAGTGTCTGATACACAGCATGTGCCCAGGAAAGGATAGCTGTTATTACTGCTGTTATTCCAATTCAGCGGATTAAGTGGACACCTTTGGTCTGTAACAAAGTTTAATATAAGCTACAAGATAAGAATAACACACTAATTCAATTCAATAAATACTAGCTATTTGAAGTGCATTGCTACATATACAAAAGGGACTAAACGTAGTGCTAATATCTGGAAAACTCACATAGAGCATAATTCTAATGTAGCTCCGACAACAAAAGGCCCTAAAGGAGGTCTATAAATGAAGTGGTATACGAATATAATAGAAAAATTAAATCTGACCAAGGGCAAAAGGGAACTTGCAAATGTATTTTTACATAAAATATTATAAGTCTTTTGGGCTAGTGTTTTTTAATTTTACTCATACATTTAGCAAATGTCTATTGGGTACCCATTTTGTGCCAGGCTATATGTTAGAAACAGAGGTTAAGTCATTGTAACAAAATCGCCAAGTAGTATACATTATATAGGCGTTCTGTAGATATAGATAAAGTACCTCAACTTAAGACAATATAGGTCAGTGATGGCGAACCTTTTGAGCTCGGTGTGTCAGCATTTTGAAAAACCCTAACTTAACTCTGGTGCCGTGTCACATATAGAAATTTTTTGATATTTGCAACCATAGTAAAACAAAGACTTATATTTTTGATATTTATTTTATATATTTAAATGCCATTTAACAAAGAAAAATCAACCAAAAAAATGAGTTTGCGTGTCACCTCTGACACGCGTGTCATAGGTTCGCCATCACTGATATAGGTAAACTAGAGGCCCAGTGCACGAAAATTCATGCAAGATTAGGCCTTCCTTCCCCCTGCTGCTGGCACCAGCTCCCCTCCGGCACCCGGGACGCTGGATGGCTTCCCTCGGGCCGCCCGCAGGCACCGGGACCTGGGCTGGCTTCCCTCTAGCCCCGGCTTGGTCAGGAAGGACATCTGGAATGACATCCGGTCTAATTAGCATATTACCCTTTTATTATTATAGATGACTTTCTATTTTGATACACTACATTGTACATTAGATTGTTTGGCCTATAACTCTGTAACAGTATGATAACTTTCTGGTCAAAACCTCTAGTTTAATCCATTCTCCACTCCAAGGCACTATTTCCCTTTGCGGTACCTAATGGGATATGGTTTTGTCATCATTTTTTAAAAAAAAATAACTGACTCAGAGCACTGTGGTCAAGAACTTTCCCATCTCACACTTTTCTTATAGTACAGACATTCAGTTATGGTTATGAAGAATGTGGGCTTTGGAGTCAGGAAGACGGGGTAGAATTATGGCTCTAACACTTCAGGCACGAATATTAGCCTCTTTAGGCCTCAGATTCCTGACCCATAAAACAGCTCCCTCACAACACTTTTTAAGTGAAATGGGATGATGCACGTGGGGTGCTTAGGCACAGAGTACTCAGTCAATGCAGCCCACCAGGGGCCACGCTGCCAGAGGCCCCTGTCCGATAACTGCGAAGAAGTACTTCAGTCAAGTAGGAACCTTACTACTTACTATTCTGTCTTTCCAGATGTCAAATAAGGAGTTGATGCCACTAAATCTGTCTGAAATAGGGGAGCTAGAAGCCACAAGGCAAAACCACAGCACTGTTGCTCCCCCAAGTCATGAATCACTCCTAGGTAAGTTTTCTTTGGCATCTGCCCACCATTTTGTTTTTCCAAAAATTCCTCCTTAATCACTATATTTTCAGGCATAGGAGATTTCTAGAGAAGCAAGGTCAAAACCAAGATTTTTCCATTCAAAATCCTAAATGCAGTAACCATACTCTTGATGTTAAAATGTATGTTACTTAATGCACCTGTCCTTGAATATTCAGTTATCAACAAAATCCAAGGTATTGTTCCTACATACAATGTAAATAAAACTAAGGTATTTCTATCCAGGAAAAAGTGTCCACTCTCAGGAATTCAAGAATTTTTAAAGGGTACCAATGGTAAAAAGTTTAAGATGCAATTATTCATTCTATGTTTATACAAAGTTCACATCAAGTAAATTCAAGTGACACAGTTTCATACTCCCCATAACTGACATTAACCTACTGATATTTTATGTTAATGAAAATCAAAGAACTTAAAGAATCTGGGTATCAGCTGTGCAAAGAACCACTTATTAATCACCTCAAGTTCTATTGTACTTCGAAAGACATCTAGAAAACTTTGGTTAACCTGCAGCTATGTTTTAACCCTTAATTTCTAGAACCTTGTCCTTATGTCTAACTTAAAGCTCATTTCCATGGTAACTCCTTAGGTCCTTTTTTTCAATAAAAAACCTGGTTACTCCCCTTTTATAAGAATACTAGAGGCCCGGTGCACAAAAATTCATGCACTTGCGGGGGTCCCCGGGGGATCAGGCCTAAGCTGGCAGTCAGACATCCCTCTGGCAGCTCAGGTGCCCTTGGGGGATGTCCGACTAACAGCTTAGGCCCACTCCCCACAGTCGGACATCCTTAGCACTGCCCAGCTTGTGGCTGAGCAGAGCTCCCCCTGTGGGAGCACACTGACCACCAGGGGGCAGCTCCTGTGTTGAGTGTCTGCCCCCTGGTGGTCAGTGCATGTCATAGTGGCTGGTTGTTCCCAGTCGTTCTGCCTTTAGGGTCAGTTTGCATATTACCCTTTTATTATATAGGATTAAGGCTTTATATTCCCCTTTGCTATAGCCTTCTCATTTTTTTGGATTAAACAAGTAAAGTTTTTTTTCCCACAAAGCAGGTTAAAATTAAATTTCTCCTTTGCACACAAGCACGTGCACATGCACCGCTGTGCAAGCAAACCTCAGCCTCTAGCTTCCAGTTGTCTGGAAGTCTGTACCTATTCAGGCTCTTATTTTCTATTAAAAAACTCATACACTAGCTCACTTACATGTATCAAGTGAATTAAGTCCAATTGATCTGACAGCTAATTGTTATAAAAATAGGTGACCCATTAACAAATTTATCTGGCTTCTGCAATTTAAGACCTATAGTCTGCCCTCAAAAAATGCAGTGTATGGCCTTCTACCCGTGCTTTGCCTTTTTGATACTAATCATTTTTAACCTTCAAATGTACTTACACGGACCTGTATTTTTATTCTATAGGCGGTGGTGCCCAGCTGGATTTTGATGCCCTGTGTGACAATGACGACACAGCCATAGCTGCCTTTATGAATTACTTAGAAGTACAGGGGGGCCTGGGAGAACCCGTGGACTTCAGCGACATCCCCTGGACCCTTTAGCATTTGACTTTTAACTCCAAAAATGGGAAATGTTTTACAGCATTTCCTTTACAAAAAAACTGTATGTTCTTCTGTACTGTATCGATACTCTTTTTATCCTTTATTCTTATGAAGGTTCTACCAATTTTTATATATTTGCACCTATTTCACAGGGGTCTGGGGAAATGTGATGTTTTTCTTCAAATAGAACTGCTCAGAATTTCCTACAGACGCCTTTACTCAGCCAACTGGTTTTAAACCCACTAGCTGCTATTTTTTGCTAAAATATTTCTGACTAAGAGTATCACATACATCTTGCTTTGGTTTTGTTTTTATTTTTTTGATGCAGTTTTTTTGAGTTTGAGAATTTAATATGTTGGCATTTTTTGGGGGGGTCTTAGATTCATTTAATTGACTTATAATAGTAGATTTGTGTAATTTGGGACATTTCCATTTCTTGTATATTTCCTTAATTGAGGACAGGGCTTATGTATTTTTTAAGAAAACAGTGAGTACTTGAACATTTAAAGGGACAATGCAATTGATAGTCATGATCACAGTGACTACTATGTTTAGTGTTTGTAGACTTGGGCAAGCACAGAGCCAGGATATTTATGCCCAGTTGAGCACTTTGAGGTGGATGTTAAATGAGATGATTTTTATTTAAAACTCAGAAAAAGAAAAGTTGAGACACTTTCAACTTTGCTTATAGAACAGGAAAGATTCTGGGTCCCAGATGTTGGTGATTAATTTTTGCATATTTAATCTTAATGTAACCACTCAAGATATACAGATAGAACAGGTTTTCTATGTTGAAATGGTATGTAGTGACTGATTATCTTAGAGGAAGGAACAGGCCCAGGCAGATTAAATGTTTTGTGTAAACACAATTAAATTTAAATATTTTTTTAATGTGTACTGTGTATAAACCAGTTTCTTTTTACATACTTGGGAAAGCAGTGGGCTCACTGGTTAAATGATTAATTAACTGATCCCAAGAACTAGTCATGGCCTTAAAGATTATTAAGCAGTTAGAGTTACTATTGCATGTAACCAAAGGCAGTTATATACATGGTAACTACCTGAAAACTATGAGGCAATGAGAAAGAATTTAAAAACCAATTTTCTAGCTATAATTAAAAATTTGGAGAGCATTAATCTAGAGGTGGCTCAAATCGAGTGCAAGAATTAAGAATATTTAAAGCACTATTGGTACATCTACCATTTTGAAGATCACATTTCTGTATCACCTTACATTTTAAGAGCTCTTTCTAGTTTACCAAGTAAGTTCCCATATATTGTCTCTTGTGCCCCACACATGAAAGTAAGATAGTCTGGGAACCTGGTGGGGAAACCCTGAGGCTCAGGTGTGGGGTTCAAATCCAGTTTTTTTTCTCTAGATGGTTCTATCCCTTTCCAGTTGACTGCCCTGAGCCTCTCACCATAACAAAGCATCATTTTGATCTGGCCCATTTCTTTCGGCTGTACTAGTTGAACTTTTGTCAGGTGTGCCAATGGCAAACATACCAACAGGCATTAACCAAAAGCAGATGTTCCCTTCAAGCACGATGACTGCAGTGGCTCTGTGGACAAGGGCGTATTGGTACATTATCCTCTTGACCTGACCCAATGCTCCAGACGTGTCAAAGGGTTGGCACCACTCCTGGACTTGAGACAGCCAGGTTTAGAATAAGCCCAAGAAACCCTATGAGATGGGGGGAGATTGGTTTGAAGCAGCCCAAGCATGATTTGTTAAGTCTGAGGAAGCAATGAACGATCACATCTGTTCTCTTAAGTTGTGCAGATGGACTTGCCTTACAAACTTAACACTTTAGCCGTCTGAACTCTGGCAGGTTAGCCTTGGCCTGCTGTGTTGGCCTAAGCCAGGGGTTGCAGGATAGGTCATTGTGGCTGGATGGCCTCAAAAGCAGATGGGACAAACCATGATGCAAGGATCTGAGAGGCAGAGTTTCTAGAGGACTTATTCCATAGACCAGTTGGCAGATAGCCAGTTGGATGCTTTGATCCTTTAATAACCCACTCTGATGTTTTTCTGTAGATCTTCTTGCCCTGGACCCAGAATCCAACCCACATGTATGATACTATATAGCTCTCTCAAGTTTGGTGGGTTTTTTTTTCAAAACCCATTCTGTTTGCATTTGATTGCTATTACGAGTGGCAGATGTTTATATGTCTTACTCAATATTACTTTGTCTCCTACCAATTTCTTGAATCTTGGTTGAAAATCTCTATACATTGGATGAAAGCAGTGTAGAGTGTGTGTGTGTGTGTGTGTGTGTGTGTGTGTGTGTGTGTGTGTGTGTGTTTTCCCCCCTAAGAATTACCTACAGTGAAGTAGTGAGGAGGGGGGAGTGCCTAGAGTCAGAAGAGCCCACTCAGCCAATAAATTTAGCTATGTGACTGCAAGTAAGCCATTTAAACTCTCTGTACCTCAGTTTCCTCATTTGTGACAAGAGATTTGATCTCCAAGTTTACTTCCAGTTCTGATTCTGAGATTCTGATCCATAGGACTTGAGCATTAGGGTCAGACTCTAGAACTGTGCGGTCCCGTGTGATAGGCACCAGCTACATGTGGCTACTGAGCACTTTAAATGTAGATTTCAATTGAGATGTGCTATAAATGTAAATTTCATAGCATACCTCAAACAGTATAAAAAGAAATATAAAATATATTAACAATTTTATATGGATTCCATGTTCAAATCATATTTTGGATATACTGAATTTAATGAAACATTAAATTTTTACTTTTGACTTTTCTAATGTGGCTATTAGAAAATTTTAAATTGCACATGTGCCACACATTATATTTCTATTGGACGGCTCTGCTCTAGAACATTTTATTAAGTGAATATTATTGAAATAGACCAAAGGTTATACCATGAATATGATTATTTACCTCTAAATGCTGTGGTTTAAAAAAAACAATTGCATATTTATCCTTGAATCTGAACCTCTACAAATAACTGAACCTCTATCCATGTATCAAATTTAAAACTTTTTAAAAACTGGTAAACTTGAAAATTTGATCAGATATTTCATTACAGGATGATCGCCTGAAATCAAATAAAATAAAACTTGAGATATATGTTGACACTGTATGGTAGTAACTAAATTTGGAAATCCATTGAGAAATCAGAAGGCAAACAGAACAGTACAGACCAGAGACTTTTGGTGAATAAATGGGATTAAAGTATTTAATTACAGTGTTACCTTGGGGAAAGGCTTTATTTATGAGTCGTGTTCTCCGAGGAATCTCTGTAGAGTCAGGGGCACAGGGAAATGAAATAGCCACTATCTAGTTGTTGGACCATGTTTGGTGGTGCCATGTCAGATCCCACTCTAAAGAGGTCTGAGCCACTCAAGCAGGTCATTGTTGGGCTCTAGAACTGGAGATTCAGATTTGCCAAGCAGGGTCTCATGGGCAGAGCAAGGCTGACAGCTAGGAAAATCAGAAGCCATAAAGAAAAACTGCTAAGCGGCCACTAGGTGTCACTTTTCCATTTCTAGAGGGCTTTGTTTTCATTAAGTTAATTTTTCCAAGTACCATGGGGCTTAGGAGAGGCATTTATGTCTTTTGTGTCTAGAATACGTCTGCCTCTCTGGTATGAGTTATTTCATGAGAAATGCTTGTTAAGAGAAGATTCTTCCCACATAATATAAGGACTTTGGTTCAGGGAGCTTTCCAGATGTGGCCCTGGTAAAACGCTGGCCTTAGAAAGAAAACGCATCCAACCTAGAATATGCTTTCTGAACTCATGTGAGAGTGTATGGTATGTGTGTTACTGCTCATACATTCTTGAGCTTAGGTTTGTCTTTTATACCGTTTTTAGCTTTTTTCCAGTTCACTCGTGCTTTTCTGTATATTGGTATTTTTAAAGTTTTGTAGTCAATAATGAAAAGAGTGAAATTAAACTATATTTTATAACAATTACTAGTTTGGAGTTTTTTATTTGATATATTCAAGTTCCTCCAAAATGTCGTATCCCTTAACTGCCTTTATAAAGTGGAAACAGACTCCATTGTTCTCAAACCACTGGGCAGAGAGGTACATTGAACTACATCACTATATACAATTGTGGGTGTGTTCATCAGGCTATGCTAACTGCTAAACAACTCTAAAATATCAGTGGCTTCCCCAGTAAACTTCCTTTCTGCTCACATCTCAGTCCAGTGTAACCAGTGCTGTCTCTCTATCTCCTTCTCCCTCCCTGCCTCTTCCTCTTTCCATCTCTCAGCTTTGCTTTCCCCTAAACTGGTTTTATCCTCTGTGGACCTTCTTCCCCATAATGACATTCAGAAGCTCCCAGCACATAATTGCTCTTATACCTGGCAGTCTCAGTGCAAAGAGCTTTTTCATTTCCTAGTAATTCACATAAAGATGTGCATTGATTGGGCCTCTGGGTTAACTTGAGTCACGTGGACCGTCTTGTGGTCAGCAGGCTAGAAAGTACAGATTGGCCAGGCTTTGGTCACATGCCCACACCTGGATTTAAAGGCATCCTCAAAAGGGAAATCATGTGAAAAATAGCCAACTCCCTGACAGCCTAGGGCCAGAGGAAGGCATGGTGATGGAAACTTGCAATGCATCATAGTTGATGATTTCCTAAGATTGTGGGCTTAGGTATGTGAGTCTCTAGTCTTTTTGTTTTTGATTGTTTTATGTGGAGGTGGAGAGGAGTAGCAAGTTATATCACACGTTTTTAACTGTGGGCACCTTTTCTGTGTAATATCTAGTCAGTAGTCACCTTGAAGGACACTCCGTTGCTTGAGGTAAGTATGCGTAGAGAGAGTCAGTAAAAAGTTGTCTTAAGTCCTGTCTAGCTATGTGTTTCTGGCATTTGATTTGTAGTTCTCTGAAAAATGTTACTTTATTTTGGAATTTGGTCTCCATGAATTGTTTACATTTTAATAGTTAGAAAACAAGAATGTTTAAGAATGTTTATTACCACAGCTTCAAACTAGGAGTGAAAATTTCAAGAGCGTGAGGAGAAAGGAAATTCTACAACACTGTCCTATTTTCTGTGATTATTGTAAACCAAAATGATTAAAAATGAACGAATGAGTAAACAAAAGGGATGATGCCATTGTTAATGGATATCTAATAGTACCTTATACAAATGGGGAACATGGCCACTCAGGCTCACCACGTAGAGCTTGACTGTTATTTTAACTCTAGATTTTAATGTGTTTATATAGATACAGTTTCGGTGAGCATTTACTAAGTGGGTCCTTTTCAGCAGATCATAGGTAATAAATCAACTCATTAAAAATCAAAGCACCAGTTGCTGGGAACATGCAAGGTTGCAAAACAGCATTTAGCTTGATGTTTTTCCTTCTAAGATGTGTGTTCACAGGAATACCTGTTAGAAGAACTAAATCCAGCTTTTCTCTAACAGAGTAACATACTATATAGTGTGGAAACATACAGATCCGATTTCTTAAATATAACCTAACCTGGAAACAGAACTCGTCAAAATAAATGTACAAGACTGTCAAATTACAGCGGGAAGGCTGGGGAGTGTTGGGGAAGGGGGGAAAGAGATCAACCGAAGGACTTGTATGCATGCATATAAGCACAACCAATGGACACAAGACACTGGTGTGTGGGATGAGGGCATGCGACAGGGGGTAGGGGAGGCTGGGGGAAGGTCAATGGGGAAAAAGAGATATATGTACTACTATGTGTAATACTTTAAACAATAAAAAAAATAAATGTGCAAATGCACAGTGGTTCTCCATATGTGATCCCAGGAAACGTAACATCACTTACAGGAGCTTGTCAGAAATGCTAATCCTTGGGCCTCACCCAGGGTCTACTGATTTAGAGACTCTGGGGTGAGCCCAGCAGTCTGAAGTTTACCAAGTCCTCCAGGTGATTCTGATACACGCTAAGGTGGGAGACTATTGCTCTGGTTCTCGTCTGGTGTTAATTTGGCCTCTTTTACCCAAACATGGTGAGGCTTCTCATTCTGTGTCATCTTGGTAACAATGGGAGTTCCCCATGTTTGGGAGGAAGACAGACTTGTTTTCTAAATGTAACATCTAAGGGGCAGTCAGAAATAACCTGCCCTCTGTAGCAAGAGAGACTACAGAAGTGGTCTCAGTCTTTTTAAAACAAAAAGAAAATTTGCTAGCATTTTCAGGAAAACAAAACAACTAAAAAAGGTCCAGTCTCTTGTCACTAGCTTTACATAATTGGTCTATAAATAACCAATAAAAGGCAAAAACAAAACAAAACAGGATAAGCGTTTAGCTAGGAAGTTGACTAATATTTGTGGCCGTTTAAGGAGAAGATAATATAGGCATTCCCTAGCTATGAAAACAATCCAAGCGTACGTAAATAGAAGGCATTTTAAAGGAACAGAGGCTGCCTCAAAGCCAAACAAGAGGCCATCTTTGCTCTAGGGAGGGAAGCGACATCCCACACCATGAGGCAGATCCAGGCTGAGGCAGCCTCTGTAGGTGGCTGTCTGTATGTAGAGGTGGCTGGTACTGGGCATGGTGGGTGACTTAAAGGCTCTAGTCACAACTACCACCTTCCAAGGAATTCTTGAAATCTACCCACTTGCTTATAGACCTTCACATTCACCTTCATGGCAGTGTGAACTGTGCTGAAAACTGGGTTCCCTAGCCAGGCATTTTTTAAAAATCCTGGGTTATGTTTCCACTGGGGGGGGGGGACACATAACTTTTCAGATTGCAGTGACACTAGAGCATGGTTTTTCTACTTCGTTGCTATTGATGTTTAGGACCAGATAGTTCTGTATTGTGGGAGGCTACCCTGTGCACACAGTAGAATTAGCATCTCTGGCCTATATCCACGAGATGCCACTAGCAACCCCCATTGACAACCAAAAATGTGTCTGACATTGCAAATGTTCTCTGAGGGAGGAGTACAAAATCCCTTCTCCATCCCAAGTTGAGAACCACTACTCTACAGTTATATTTTCTTCTTTTTTGTTGAAGAGGGTAGGAAAAAATATCTTCCTGTTCTCTATCCTCATTAAGACCACAATGCCTTAGATCCCTCTCATTTTCCCTTATTTATCCCCTCTCCTTATGCACACCCCTCCCCCCGCCCCAGTCTTTACTTCCATACTGACTGGCCCTCTAAGGTCATAATTTTTTTCCTCTTTGTCAGTGTCCTCAAATCCCAGGCCCCCATTATCCTTCCACCTCACTCAGCTCCAGAAAATCCCAGCTCTGCCATCAGCTCAGCTCTCTGACAATCCCAGCTCTGCCATCAATTCAGCTCTCTGACAACCCCATTCCTTCAGTAGAACCACCAAATACCACTTGAGAAGAATCATACTAGTAGGTTTGTATAAATTCATGGTCTCACACTAATGAGCCTCAGTGAGGTAGCATGAGGTTCTTGTTTCTCCTCACTTCAATCATTCCCACCCGCATCTTGAGTGGGGAGCTCTTAACACATTGAGAAGGTGTTCAATGTTAACAACAGTTTGTTTTGCTTTGGTTTGATTTTGTCTCAATACTGCACTTTGAAGAATAGACAATTTATATGTGTGTGTGGGGGGGGGCGGGTATTTGGAAGGGTTGAATTATAACTGTGAGGAGTGACCAATCAAGTGGATCCACCCTTACCCTGCCAGATGAGCCAGGAACAGCCCTTTCCCCAGGCCTGACCAAGAGGGGCACATTCAGGATGGATCTATGAAGAGAGGAGAGGGGTAGAAAAAATGGGGTGGGGGCTGCCAGGGAGAACGTGAGCTCTGGATGCCTACTCCCTAAGGCTGACTATGAATTTAAAAGTGACCAAAGATAGTTTCGCTCTCTCCATTGGCCCTCATATGTTTCTGTAAGCTAGCTAAGAGCAAGATTGTAAGATTGTGCCCTTCCTGGAAATGGACTGTATTCACCTGCCCTCTCAGGCACCCCATGGCACGAATAAGACTACAGTGATTTCTAAAGCCAGTTGTATTACCATTTACATGAACAACTATTTCAGATTTCCCCCCACTTTCTTTAAACTCTCTATGTCACTGCTTTTTCCATATTCACAAAAGATGACCTTGCATATCACTTCAGCATGTTCACCATGAAAATAAAGCAGAAACCCTCTTATTTGAGGTGGTATGGACTCCTCATCATTTGATTAGCTGAAAAGGTTTATTAAAACAGAATAATGCAGAGTGATGTCCGCAAGATAGCGTAGTAGGAGACACTAGGCTTTGTCTCCCCCCCTCCCAGGCCTCCCTTCCCCAATAATTATACATCTATCCATGGATAAAACTAGTTTTGGGAGCACTCAAGAGTCCAATTAAAAACCTGCAGCAACACAAGGGAGCAAACGACCGAGAATAATCACACAAAAGTGATTGCTGGGAGATCAGCATATCTGAGACAACTGGAGATGGCCATGAACATGTGGTAGTTGCCAGCAATCCCCAGTGACCTCCTCTGCAGAGGACTTCTGCCATGAGGACCTCAACGCCCCTGCCATCACTACTTCAGACCCCCGAGAGAGGAGACACTGCTATATGCCTCTTCCAAGAAGGATCTGCTGTTACACTGCCCTGGGACCAGGGCCACCTTCCCCTAACCCTGCACACACCCAGTACCCCAGAGACGTGGCCACTTCACTCTGACTGTGCTCCAGACGCCAACTCCATGGCTTCTCCGTGAGCACCTTGCCCAACATTACCAAAGCTGTGGCAGGGTTGCCTATGTCCTGGGCACCAGTGCCTCCACTGCCCTGAACCAGGAGCCATGGCCTCTCCATGCAGGCCAATGCCCCATAAGATTATCAGCAGAAGCTTTGAGACCACAAGGGAATGCAATGACATATTGAAAGTGCTGAAAGAAAAGCTGACAGTCAAGAATACTCTAGAGCAGTGGTTCTCAACCTTCTGGCCCTTTAAATACAGTTCCTCATGTTGTGACTCAACCATAAAATTATTTTCGTTT